AAAGACAATGTATATATCATGAGTGCGTTGTTGTTTATGTACAGGATTGAATAATACTGGAGTTTTTTCCCAACACCAAATCGTTATTTTTACACTCTAAAGTGCTCTTGCATTACAAAATTTTACTTACAACATTTTTCAGTATTTGCTCTGGAATAAATTACTCAATACTAAAGACAATGTATATAGCATGAGTGCGTTGTTGTTTATGTACAGGATTGGCAATTTGACAAGTTCGTACCCACAATTTCTCCCAGCAAATAACGTACAATTTACTTTTCAAAGAGGCAGTACCAACGGAGAGCTGATGCTATCCTTGGAAAAAATGAAAAGAGGAGGTAAGTCGGGTGGTTCGACGTGAGTGCTTTGTTCACTCAGTCAATAGGCCAATGTGTGAGTCGATGGTTCAAGCCCCAGGCTGAACGCTCGATTTTCACTTGCTTTCATCCAACCCGTGTTAGGAATCACACGTTAAAAGGTAAGACCTCGTTAGTCCTTAGCTTGCACAAGTTTCAACTTCTGACAGTTGTCGTTCGTAGGGGTGTGATAGCTGGTTAACGGGAAAAACATATTTTAGACAACATATATTAGACATAAGTAGCACAAACAGTTTTTTGCTTTTTTTGCCTTTTTTTGCCTTTTTTGCCAATAGTATCCCAGAACTCATTGATACAGTTCATTGCATGAACCATAAAGAGTTATACAAAAACCGCGACACATGTTTCGCTATACAATAGATATCGCAAGCATAAAAACGTTTTACGCTTGAGACCAGTTTTATTCGATTAATAGTATCCCAATTCATTATTTCTCAATCGAACAGAAATTATTGTATTTGTCGTTATTTTAATAATAAATTTTCATGTTTTTGACGAAATTAAATGAACCATTAAAAATGTGATAGCGCCCTATCTGAGGGCAAGTGATGTCAAAAAGTACTGAAATTGATTTCTCTTTATACAAATTTTGTCCGACTTTGACATCTTGCCCCGTTCAAAAGTTAAGAAAAGGAAGGGACTATTCACGTCCGCACTTTCGATGACCGAGAGATTTCACAATATCAGAAAGCATATCACTTGGAGACTTAAATCAATTTGAACGATTTCATGACACTAAGTGGAGTCATTTCATGTATTTTATTTGTCAGGACAAAATGTCCAGAGAAAAGTTGTTCATTATGATTGTCTCAACGTAAAAGTAGAAATACAACACTTTCAATATTGACACGTTTTTGAGTAACACTCCATTGTGATTTTTTTTTACTGGACAGTTTTCGAAACCCCAACATGTTCAGCTATACATTGACTTCCTTAGACATGTTTATACTGACGTCAGTACGAATTCGCCTGAAGAAGCTATTACATAGTGAAACACGTGTTGATTTTGATAAGTGTCCAGTGAAAATCTCACAATGGATTGTTATTTGAATAAGTGGGCTTTTTGACAGGTTAAGCCAGAAAATATGAAACCCATTTCGATTTCAGGAAATTGATGATTTCCGCCTCAGACTGAATATGTCCAGAGATTTTGTGTCGCCTTTGGAAGGAACCCAACATCAATATGGTATCAATGCAAAATTACTACAGAAAATAATAGACATCTTGAAGAAGGATTACAATTTTAAGGAAAGGCTAACTTTTCTTAATAGTTATCCACAATATACGACAAACATACAGGGTCTCAATATTCACTACCTTCATATTGTACCAGAAAATCCACATAATCCGAAAATTATTCCCGTGTTGATGTTACACGGTTGGCCCAGTTCAGTTCGAGAATTTTATGAAGTTATACCTGCTCTAATATCGAGGCACACCAAAGAGAAGAAGTTCGTCCTGGAACTAGTTATTCCTTCCCTCATTGGATTCGGATAAGTTTCACAATTTTTGTTGTCATGCAGTTGGTATTGGATTAGTTTTTAGTGCATTTGTACGAAAGCTTCTCTTTCAAAATGTTTTTTTTATAATTTTCATTTTTGAACACTTCTGAATCGAAATGAATATTGGTTATGTATTAAAATAAACGATACACATTATTTAATAATGATAATAAGTTTATTGCCCATCAAAATAACAAGATAATAACAAAAAATAAAATACAAGAGAGAGAAAAATAAAAACACTTTGTATTTGATTGCAAATGGCTTTTAGTTCAGATCGCGAATTTGCATTCGCATCTGCTTTTCCACCAATCACTGAGGATACACTACAAAAACACACTTTTGTCTATTGTTTATTGTTGACTAGTTTCGGCTATAACACTATTTTCAGAACTAACTGATTACATTTGAATCACTTGAAAAATCTAATGTCTTAGCGAAACATGTTGTGATATATTTTTCAAATGAAGTTTGTGGAGATCAAATCGTTGAGGTGTAGTTTTTGAAAAAGAGGTAACAAGCTTTTTGGGGCTTCCACTGCGTGCAACGTCCTTGGTGCTCAATTCACCTCGTTTTAGCTTAGCAAACCCCTTCTCAACGGCATCGATGCAGAGTCCAAATGCTGTTTATCAAGCCAAGCCTTGACTTGGACAGTTTTTTTTAACAAAAAGAAATGCTTCATCAACACACGAATTTCATTTTTATTCATTATCTTCAAACTAA